CCTTTTGCAGGCTCTGGATCATGACTGAGTCCATGTTCTCCAAATTACGGAATGAGGAGGAACATGAGTCTTCTTGGTCACAGAGGATGACATTGACCAGAGATACTATACCTTCCCCCAGCCACATATTACTTCCAGGGCTTGTGAGGCATGAAACCCACCCCTAGAAGACTGCCCCATATCATCTTCAAGCTCAATACTACCTTGGCAACCATACTTATCCTGTGCTTGCTGTGGCCTCACATGGATGGTGTCTGGATATAGCAGACCCTGATATGCAAGGAAGTCCTCCTCTTTCTTTTGTTGCTCTTCCTTCAGTGCCCTGTCCATGGTGCCATGCTGTGTATTCACCAGGAGCACAACATGCACAGTGTCTTCCCAAATGGTGACAATACAGTGCAGCAACTACTGGTGTGGGAATAAAAGCCCAGATCCTCTGAGCCTGAACTTTTGCCATATTCGCACAGGTACTCAATGATGGCCCCCTACAGCATGTGCAGCTACGGCAGCAGGATCAAAGTTAAGTTCCACCTGGTGAGCATATCACAATCAGGTGCTTCATGCTGAATTTCACCCATTTGAGCACTGGCTGGGTGGGACCACCTGAAATGGCTACAAACTCTTCTGACCTGCTCCAGAAGATATTGTAAATCAGGGGGTACTTATGCAGGAACTAATGTACCTCCAAGTTGAGCATGTGATGGACACCATCATTTCTGGCATAAGCTGATGTGGGATTAACCAGTCTGCTCTTATAGAGATAAAAGAACATTTGCCCAGTGTGGCTCCTGTCCCTCAGGAATGCATAAGGAGGACTGTTGGATCAGAGGATGTCTCAGCAGAAGAGAGCATGAATTAAAAACTTCAATAGCATGTTCATGAGGGGGGGGAGGGGTGAAGCCACCATGGAAGGTAAATACAAGCAGACTAAACTTAGACTTCAATCACCATTTTTTGTACTATTTAAATATGAAGCAAATGTTATTCACTGCTATAAAACTACCATTCTGGCATATGAATGGGAAATGGCTGCATAAATTTTTTTTAAAGTGATTGTAAAGGCTGCATTAATTTTTTTTTTAAATAACAAAACATGTCTATATTTACCTGCTGTGTGCAGTGTATTTGCATAAAACAGCCCAGGCCCTCTTCTTTTTGGGTCCCCCACCAGTGCTCCTGGCCCCTCCCTCCTGTTGAGTGCCCCCACAGCAAGCAGCTTGCTATGGGGGCACCCAAGCAAGCTCGATGTCCATTGACACACAGAGCTGCGGCTAAGCACCACCCCCTCTTCATTGGCTCACTGGCTGTGATTGACAGCAGTGGGAGCCAATGGCTCCTGTTGCTGTCTCACCCAATGAGGAGAGAGAGTCCTGGGATAGCCGAGACTCCAGTGCACATCGCTGGATCTAGTGGGGGCTTAGGTGAGTATTAGGGAGGGCTGGGGAGGATGTTGCACAGATAAGGATTTTTACCTTCATGCATAGAATATATGAAGTTTAAAAAACAGCTACCTTTACAACCACTTAAATGCATGCAATTTCTTTATGACAAAGTCACTTGAAATAGATATTATTCTGAGTCTGCAATAAGAAGATGTTGTTTCTTTTCTTTTCAGATGTAGAATTGTATCTTTACCCAACACAGGACAGGAATAATGGTCAAAATAAATCCAAAGATCAGTATCAGCTCGTCACATCACAGGAGGAAATCATCGAATCTGCAAGAGGTACCATCTGCAGATTCCTTTCTTATTTCTTTGTTTAATATGTATTTCTAAACCAAATCTAATGATACTAGCTCACATCCTGGTCTCCCGGCCATTTTATTTAAGAAGACAATCGCATTTTTCAGTTCAAAAAAGAAAAGTCCACGGTGCCAAGAGTAGCATGTAGATTGAATTTCAACCAAACAAAATCTACCTTGTACTTGTCTGAGTTCAGCTAAAGGCCTTTTTATTGGTTGTTAATCGTGATGAGCCAAACTGCCCTGGGTTCGGCTCAAGCAGGGTTCAGTGAACTTTAAAGAAGTTCAGATGCTGAACCTGAACCCCCAGTGAACTCAATAGAGCCAAATCTGTCAAATTAAAATGTCCATTTTCTGGGCTAATAGGAAAGGGATGTCAAAAAATCATGGGGTGTGGACACTGCCCTGGGGAACATGTACCACTGGAAAAAAAAAATGTATTCGGTCATTAACAGTGTTTTTTTTTAAATGTTTAAAGTGACAAGTTGAAAACATCTAATTCTTTTAACTACTTGCCATCCAGAGGATTCCCCCCCCTTCCTGACCAGACCATTTTTTGCAATTTTTTTACGATAAGGCACTGCGATACTTTAACTGACAATTGTGCGGTCATGCAATGCTGCACCCAAATGACATTTATGTTCTTTTTTTTTCTAAAAATAAAGCTTTCTTTCCGTGGTATTTGATCGCCTGTGCATTTTAAATTTTTTGCTCTATAAAGAAAAAAATAGACAAATTTTAGGAAAAAACTACATTTTTGACTTTTTGCTATTAAACATGTCCAGTAAAAAATGTAACACATCAAATTTCGTCATAAATTTAGGCCAAAATGTATTCTGCTCCGTGTCTTTGCTAAAAAGAAAATCCCAATACGTGTAAATTAATTGGTTTACGTGACAGTTATAGCGTTTACAAATGGCGGTATAGATACTGGGATTTTTTTCTTCTTACTAGTAATGGCGGCGATCAGCAACTTTTAGCAGGACTGCGAGATTTCAGCGGACATTCTGACACTGGTGGGGGGGGGGGGGGGGGGACTGACTTGCTGTCACTGACATCCCCAGTGACACTAATACAGTGATCAGTGCTAATAAAAAGCCCTGACACTGTACTAATGGCACTGGGCAGGAAGGGGTTAACATGAGGGGTGATCAAAGGGTTTACTCTGTGCTGTTTCACTGTGTAAGCACATTGCTTTGTATTGCATTGCTATGTAGAGCAATACAAAGCAGCATGCTGGAGCTGACAGGGGAGAGATCTCTATTGTTTACATACAGACCTCTCCCTCGTTAGCGATACTTGGTGATCGCGGGGTGCCAATAACCTGGAAATGCAAAATTATGTATACATACGTGATTTTGTGCAGCCTTGCCGCCCTGTAGCAGTACTTCTGCTATAGGGTGGTGGGGAAGCAGTTAAATAACATATCTGGGAGGTGTCCTAATCCTGTCAGTGAAGGGGCGCAAGCAACGCTGACATTTTCAAAGGAAATGCTTAAAATTGCCACCAAATTTTATTTCGTTGAAAGCTTCTGATGCTCACACGTCCATTGTAGGTGCTTTAGGCTGTGGACATGGGTCAGCATGGGTACCATGACCCGTCTGCGGGTACACAGCCCCATACACAACAAACTGTGATGCTCTGTGTTCTGACTCCTTTCTTCCAGAACCAGCATTAACTTTTTTCAGCAATTTGAGCTCTAGTAGCTCTTATATTGGATCGGACTAAAAGGGCCAGCCACCCACATGCATCAGTGAGCCTTGGCCACCCATGACCCTGTCACTAGTTTTCCTTCCTTGGGCCACTTTTGGTCGGTCCTGACCACTGCGGGACTGGGAACATCCAGCTAGAGCTGCAGTATTGGAGTTGCTCTGACCCAGTCTTCTAGCCATTACAATTTGGCCCTTGTCGAAGTTGCTTGAATCCTTACACTTGCCCATTTTTTCTGCTTTCAACACATCAACGTCAGGGACAATATTGACACTATACATTGACAGGCCATATGGAAGAAAAATCTATTTGAAATGCTACAATTTTGGCCATATTCAATATATTTAAAAAATAAATTATATATACCGTATTTTTCGCTCCATAAGACGCACCTAGGTTTTAGAGGCAGAAAACAGGAAAAAAAAATTCTGAACTAATGGACTACAGACATAGTACAGGAGACGACCAGAGACTGCGGACAGCACAGGGATGACCAGAGACTGCGGACAGCAAAGGGATGACCAGAGACTGCGGACAGCACAGGGGATGACCAGAGACTGCGGACAGCACAGGAGATGACCAGAGACTGCGGACAGCACAGGAGATGACCAGAGACTGCGGACATAGTACAGGAGATGACCAGAGACTGCGGACATAGTACAGGAGATGACCAGAGACTGCGGACATAGTACATGAGATGACCAGAGACTGCGGACATAGTACAGGAGATGACCAGAGACTGCGGACATAGTACAGGAGATGACCAGAGACTGCGGACAAAGTACAGGAGATGACCAGAGACTGCGGACAAAGTACAGGAGATGACCAGAGACTGCGGACATAGTACAGGAGATGACCAGAGACTGCGGACATAGTACAGGAGATGACCAGAGACTGCGGACATAGTACAGGAGATGACCAGAGACTGCGGACATAGTACAGGAGATGACCAGAGACTGCGGACATAGTACAGGAGATGACCAGAGACTGCGGACATAGTACAGGAGATGACCAGAGACTGCGGACATAGTACAGGAGATGACCAGAGACTGCGGACATAGTACAGGAGATGACCAGAGACTGCGGACATAGTACAGGAGATGACCAGAGACTGCGGACATAGTACAGGAGATGACCAGAGACTGCGGACATAGTACAGGAGATGACCAGAGACTGCGGACATGTACAGGAGATGACCAGAGACTGCGGACATAGTACAGGAGATGACCAGAGACTGCGGACATACTACAGGAGATGACCAGAGACTGCGGACAGCACAGGGATGACCAGAGACTGCGGACAGTACAGGAGATGACTGCTGACCTTTGGGGAGGGGGGGGAGCGGGTACCTGAATTTGACAGGTACCCGCTCTTACTTCCACGGAGTTGTTCTTCTTTGATCTTACCTGTTCCTCTATTCAGCCGCGCGCTGTCTTCCCGGCTTCTGTAGTGTCAGCGCTCGGCATGACAGCCGGGTGCCCAGTGCTCATGAGTGAGAAGTGCTGCGCTTTGTGATTGGTCCGGCGGCTTCTGGGATCTGTCATGTGTCCCAGGTACCGCCTTACCATTCACAAAAAGCACCGCTTCTTGCGCATGCGCACTTGGCACCCGGCTGTCAAGCCCAGCGCCCACACTACACAGAAGCCGGGAAGACAGCGCGCCGCTGGATAGAGGAACAGGTAAGGTCAAAGAACAACTCCGCGGAAGTAAGAGCGGGTACCTGTCAAATTCAGGTACCCGCTCCCCACCTCCCCAAAGGTCAGCAGTCATCTCCATAAGGTCCCACTGCAGAGCTGAGCGGCCGGCCCGGTATTCTGACACGGCGGCGGTGGAAATACCGGACAGGCCGCTCCATAAGACGCACTGACATTTTCCCCCCTTTTTTGGGGGGAAAAAAGTACGTCTTATGGAGTGAAAAATATGGTATATATATATAGATAGATAGATAGATATACACACACACACTGCTTGTTGAAATTAATTTATAATACAAAATATATGAGCACTGTGATATAAAGGGGACTGCACTGTAAAGGGGCACTGTACTGATTACAATGCCCCTTTACAGTGCAGTCCCCTTTTTATCATAGTGCCCCTTTACATTACAGTGCCCCTAGAGATAATCACAGTGCCCCCTATATATTCAAAGAGATGGCCCAATCCAACAAAGAGACATCCCCATATAGCAAAGAGACAGCCCAATCCAGCAAACAGGCATCCCCATATAGCAAAGAGACAGCCCAATCCAGCAAACAGGCATCCCCATATAGCAAAGAGACATCCCAACTAGCAATGAGACAGCCTGTCAAGCAATGAGACAGCTCATCCAGCAAAGAGACATCCTGTCCAGCAAAGAGACAGCCCATCAAGAAAAGAGACAGCCCGTTCAGCAAAGAGACAGCCCATCCAGCAAATAGACAGCCCATTCGGCAGAGAGACAGCCCCCATCCAGCAAAGAGACATCCCCATCCAACAAAGAGGCAGCCTGTCCCGCAAAGAGACAGCTCACCCAGCAAAGAGACAACCCATCCAGCAAAGAGACAGCCCACCCAGCAAAGAGACAGCCCACCCAGCAAAGAGACAGCTCACCCAGCAAAGAGACAGCCCATCCAGTAAAGAGACAGACCATCCAGAAAAGAGACAGCCCATCCAGCAAAAAGACAGCCCCATCCAGCAATGAGACAGCCCATTCAGCAAAGAGCTCATAGTTTAATCTAGGGAGTTTCTGACCCCATATGAAGTTAGTGCAAGCTCTTCTGTAAGCAGTAAATAAGGATTTTGGCAATTTAGATGGGATTGCTAGCATTGTATATAAAATGCAGGGGAGAATGTTCATTTTAATAATGGCTGCTCTTCCAAACCATGAATAGAGACCTCTAGGCCAGGACTGCAGATCGTGTTGAATATCTCGTAGGATAGGTATGCAATTCAATGCATGGAGTTCTGATATTCGTATTGGGAGTTTTATCCCTAGACACATGATGGATTCTGATTGCCATACAAATGGGTAGCATAGTTTACAAACATCTACTTCTTTTTTGGGTAGGGATATATTGAGGGCATATGATTTAGAAAAATGTATTTGCAAATTGGAGATGGTGTTGTAGTAGGCAAAGTCTTTCAATAGGTTTGGGATGGTGAACTGGGGTTCTGTTAAGAATAGTAGCATATCATCAGCGAATGCTGCAATCTTGTATGTTTATCCTGAGACTTGGATGCCTATGATGTTGGCATTGGATCTAAGCCATCTCAAAAAAAGGCTCTAGAGTGATAACAAAGAGAAGCAGGGATAGAGGGTATTCTTGTCTGGTGCCATCTGATATGGAGAAGGCATCCGACAGCCGGTCATTAATTCGAACTCGTGCTGTCTGCTTGGAATAAAGTGCTAGGATATAGCTTGACATGGTGTTGTTCATGCTGAAAGCTTCCAAAGTTGCTTACATGTAATCCCAAACCACTCTGTCAAATGCCTTCTCTGCATCCTGGGACAGGCAAAAACCTTGTTGTTTAGAGGAGATTAGCCAGTGGTGTATGTTTAGGGCTTTCAGTGTGTTCTCTTGGGCATGAAGTCAACTTGGTCCATGGAGATAGGAGAGAACAGAAATGGAAGCAAGCAATTGGCCAGTATTTTCACATAGAGCTTAAAGTCCATATTTAGGAGTGAGATAGGCCTGTAGTTAGGAAATAAAGTGGGGTCTTTACCATCTTTTGGATTACGAAGATATGAGCTTCTAAGGAATTTTGTAAGCTTTGGGAGCCCAAGATATTAAAAGCCGTGAGGAATTGCCCACTTTGTTATTCTGCGAATAATTAAAAAATTTTTGTTTTATCTACAGTATAATTGTCTGCTATCAATGACGCCCTTAATTCATTTCTACAATTATTACGTTGAGGGCAGCAAGCAGTGCATGTTTCAGAACATACTTACTGGTTTCACCAAGTCCATTCCCATTGGACTCCATTGTATCTTTGGAAACTTATTATGAGTAAATATAGGTGTCTTATTTTCTGCAAAGTGAGATTCTTGAATGCAAATGATATCACTGTCCACCTTCAGAGCATCAGACCATAAAGCCTTTCTATTGTAGGAGCTATTAAACCCTTTCACATTCAAAGATATAAATTTGAGTCCCATAAATAGGCAAAACCCAATTGCAAAAATGACGCCTTCCAATGATAGATGTTAGCCATAACTGACCAATGAGACTATCAATGAGCCGGTTAGGAAGTTGTGGGATATGATGATCCTTGTAGTATACACAATGGGTAAATGTGATCATAACTAGAGATGAGCGAATCGAAGTATCCGAAGTGGAATTCGAGTCGAATATCGGAAAAAATTTTGATTCGCGCCGAATCCGAAAAATAGCCTAATTCGGACGCGCGAATCGAAATTTTTCCGAAAATGGCGGCTGACATGTGCGGCGACGGAGCGGGGATGTCTGGGAAGGTGCGCAGACAAGGCGCGCTGACCCATAATGCATTCCTCAACGACATGTGATCGCATCAGCCAATCAGCAGCCAGCCAGCTAGCACTGTGTAATGGTCGAGCTATAAATAGCGGCCATTTTGGAATTCTTCATTTGCCTGCAGTCATTGAACAGAGGCAGACCGCTCTGTATTAGGGACAGGGACAGAGTTAGGGCCACGAAACGATACTTGGGGACAGAGAAACGATACTTAGGGACAGAGAACTATTACTCAGGGACACAGAATTGTTAATTAGGGCCACAGAATCGTTACTTAGGGACAAAGAAACGCTAGTTAGGGCCACAGAATTCATACTCAGGGACAGACAGAATTGTTACTGAGTGCCAGAGAATTGTTATTTAGGGCCACAGAAACGTTATTAGGGCCACAGAATTGTTACTCAGGGACAGACAGAATTGTTACTGAGTGCCAGAGAATTGTTACTTAGGGCCACAGAAACGTTATTAGGGCCACAGAATTGTTACTCAGGGACAGACAGAATTGTTACTGAGTGCCAGAGAATTGTTACTTAGGGCCACAGAAACTTTAGTTAGGGCCACAGAATTGTTACTCAGGGACAGACACAGAATTGTTACTGAGGGCCACAGAACTGTTACTTAGGGCCACAGAATTGTTACTCGCACAGACACAGAATTGTTACTCGCACAGACACAGAATTGTTACTGAGGGCCACAGAACTGTTACTTAGGGCCACAGAATTGTTACTCGCACAGACACAGAATTGTTACACAGGGACACAGAACTGTTACTGAGGGCCACAGAACTGTTACTTAGGGCCACAGAATTGTTACTCGCAGAGACACAGAACAGAATTGTTACTCGCACAGACACACAGAATTGTTACTGAGGGCCACAGAACTTACTTAGGGCCACAGAATTGTTACTCACAGAACACAGACACAGAATTGTTACTCGCACAGACACAGAATTGTTACTGAGGGCACAGAACTGTTACTTGGGCCACAGAAACGTTAGGGCCACAGAATTGTTACTCAGGGACACAGAATTGTTACTGAGGGCCACACAGAAACTGTTACTTAGGGCCACAGAATTGTTACTCGCACAGACACAGAATTGTTACTCGCACAGGGACACAGAACTGTTACTGAGGGCCACAGAACCGTTACTTAGGGCCACAGAATTGTTACTCGCACAGACACAGAATTGTTACTCGCACAGACACAGAATTGTTACTCGCACAGACACAGAATTGTTACTCGCACAGACACAGAATTGTTACTCGCACAGAATTGTTAACACAGAATTGTTACTCAGGGCACAGAACTGTTACTGAGGGCCACAGAACTGTTACTTAGGGCCACAGAATTGTTGCTCGCACAGACACAGAATTGTTACTCGCACAGACACAGAATGTTACTCAGGGACACAGAACTGTTACTTAGGGCCACAGAACTGTTACTTAGGGCCACACAGAATTGTTACTCGCACAGACACAGAATTGTTACTCGCACAGACACAGAATTGTTACTGAGGGCCACAGAACTGTTACTTGGGGCCACAGAAACGTTAATCAGGGACACAGAATTGTTACTTAGGGCCACAGAACTGTTACTTAGGGCCACAGAATTGTTACTCGCACAGACACAGAATTGTTACTCGCACAGACACAGAATTGTTACTGAGGGCCACAGAACTGTTACTTGGGGCCACAGAAACGTTAATCAGGGACACAGAATTGTTACTGAGGGCCACAGAACTGTTACTTAGGGCCACAGAATTGTTACTCGCACAGACACAGAATTGTTACTCGCACAGACACAGAATTGTTACTGAGGGCCACAGAACTGTTACTTAGGGCCACAGAATTGTTACTCGCACAGACACAGAATTGTTACAGGGCAGGGACACAGAACTGTTACTGAGGGCCACAGAACCGTTACTTAGGGCCACAGAATTGTTACTTAGGGCACAGACACAGAATTGTTACTCGCACAGACACAGAATTGTTACTCGGGCACAGAAAGGGCACAAATTGTTACTCGCACAGTTACTCGCAGGCACAGAATTGTTACTCAGGGACACAGAACTGTTACTTAGGGCCACAGAATTGTTACTCGCACAGACACAGAATTGTTACTGAGGGACACAGAACTGTTACTGAGGGCCACGAAACCGTTACTTAGGGCCACAGAATTGTTACTCGCACAGGGCACAGAATTGTTACACAGGGCACAGAACAGAATGTTACTTGGGGGCACAGAAACTGTTACTTAGGGCCACAGAATTGTTACTGAGGGCCACAGAAACTGTTACTTAGGGCCACAGAATTGTTACTCGCACAGACACAGAATTGTTACTCGGGCCACAGAATTGTTACTGGGGCAGACAGAACTGTTACTTAGGG